GCGGGGCCGGGCCGCGGAGCTCCCCACTGCCCGCTCCAGGAGGGGGGGCACGGGCCGGGCTGGAGAGGGGAGGGACGCGGGGCTCCCCACTGCCTCTCTGTACCCAGAGGCCGGAAGGAGGGACCCCCGGAAGATGGGCCGGGGGACTTAAAGCGAGGTCAGGGTAAAGCAAGGAGGAACTGGGTGCGGGGCACCGGTGGCTCATGCCTGTCATCCTAGCTACTCAGAGGCTGAAATTTGAGGATCACGGTTCAAAGCCAGCCTGAGCAGGAAAGTCTGTGAGACTCTGATCTCCAATGAACCGCTCAGAAAACCGGAAGTGGTGCTGTAGCTCAAGTGGTAGAGTGCTAGCCTTGAGCTGAAGAGCTGAGGGACAGCGCCCAGGCCCTGAGTTCAAGCCCCACAACCCGAGGGGTCTGGGGTGGGGTGGTGAGGGAGGGAAGGAGCTGGGACCGGGTCCCTGACCTTCCACCTTCCTAGGGGTGGTTGAGGGCCAAATAGCTGATGCTCTTGGCTCCATTTAAGTCCTGGCTCAGATTCCTCTTGGACTGAGTGAGTCAGCTGCTTTGGATGGGTGTGGCAGGCGACAGGAGTGTGACCGCGACTTGGGACAGTAGGCTGGACACAGATCCCCTCTGTCCTGCCATTTGGGGCCATGGCAGGAGCTTGTGCCCAAAGCCCCGTTCCTTCCCGCCCCCAGTTTCCTTTGGCCTCTCTCCCGGCCTTGGCACCTCTGGCCTTGGGATTTTCCGTCTCTCCAGCTTGGAGCAGTGACTCATAAAACCCAGGGGATTTGCCTGGAATCCCCATTTTTTTTAAGGACTGGATTGGGGATGCAAGCTCTGCTCTTTGGAGACAATGGTCCCCAAGACAGCTTGTAGATTCTGTCTAGTCATGCTCCTCCCAAATGATGTTGAGCCACAGAGATGGTGTCGGCCCTGGGTGTCTCTATCAGGCTGGTCAAACTGCCCATCCATCCAGGCACTTACAAATGGCATCAGCCAGAGCTGCAGACGCCTCTGGCATATTCCAGGGCAGCATGGCTGCTCCCAGTCTCAGCCATGCACAGATACCACGCCCTGGTCACCTGGAGCAGGGTTGGGGGCCCTGTAGGAGACCCCATTCTCACGGAAGGTCATCCACAGGCTGAGCAGCCCAAAGTCCTGAGTGCTGTGGACGACCGCATGGATGAACTGGGTGCCAGCATCGCACAGTCCCGGCGCACGGTGGCCCTCATCAAGGTCAGACAGGACCCCCCCAGTCCCAGTCCTACCTCTGATTTCCCCCACACACACCCGAGCACTGCCGGCTTCTGGAAACATGTGCTTTCAGCATGGCACATCCACTCTGGGAGCCTTGCTGGGGCCCCGCCCTCTCCTGCAAGCCCCAGGCGGCTCCCCTGAAGGGGCTCAGATCTAGTGTGGCCCCTATGAGGCTGGGGGGGACCCGAGGGAAGGAGGGTGAGGCTGATGGCCAGGCCTGTTCTCCCCCCCCATGTCATCTGGTGCAGAGTGCAGCTGTGGCGGAGCGGGAGAGGGTGAGCCAGCTGTTTGCCGAGGCTGCGGCCGCCCTGCAAGGCTTCCAGACAGAGCTGCTGGGCTTCATCAAGGAGGGGGAGTCGGCCCTGCTGAGCCGATCTCAGGGCGACCTGTGGCGGCAGGAGGAACAGCGCAGCAGATTAAGCCGGGCTCGCCACAACCTTAGTCAGGTCCCGGAAGCCGATTCTGTCAGCTTCCTGCAGGTGGGCACAACTCCCTAGCCACAAGGGGAGCCCCGGGGGGGGGGGGGCAAAGGGCGGAGGGCAAAGGGCAGTGGTCCCAGCAGCCTTAACGGGGGAACTTCTCTGGCACAGGAGTTCCTGGCCCTCCGGCTGGCTCTGGAGGAGGGGTGCGGCCCCGGGCCCGGCCCCCCCAGGGAGCTCAGTTTCACCAAGTCCTCCCAAGCCGTGCGCGCCGTGAGAGATGCACTGGTCTCAGCCTGTGGCAGCCAGTGGGAGCAGCTGCGGGGGCTGGGCGGTGACGCGGACGGGCTGCAGAAGCTGGGCCCCGAAGGTGGGTGCTCCCCACACACCCGATGACTCATCTCCCCCAGGCTTCCCACACGGCCCCCAGGCCTGTGCCCATTCAGGAGTGGAGGAGGGAAACTGTGCCTAGCACAGGGCGGGGCCCAGCTCCTGCCAGAGGCCCGAGCCACCACCCTGGGCTGACTACTGGGCTCCGGTTATATCCTAGAGGGCAGAGGGGACCCTTTCCACCCACCCCCTACTTCAGAGGGGCTGAGCCCCCACAACCAGAGGGCAAAGGGCACCAGACGACACCAGAGCCGGGCATCAGTGACTCATGCCCATAATTCTTTTTTTCTTTTTTCTTTTTTTTTTTGTCAGTTGTGGGGCTTGAACTCTGGGCGGCCTAAGCACAGTCCCTGAGCTCTTCAACTCAAGGCAAGCACTCTACCACTTGAGCCATGGAACCACTTTCAGTTTTCCGGTGGTTCATTGGAGATAAGAGTCTCATGAACATTCCTGCCCAGGCTGGCTTTGAACTGTGATCCTCAGATCTCAGCCTCCTGTGTAGCTAGGATTACAGGTGTGAGCCATGGGTACCCGGCTTCTTCCTTTCTTCTTCCCCTCCTCCTCCTCCTCCTCTTCCTGTCCTGGGGCTTGAACTCAGGGCCTGGGCACTGTCCCTGAGCTTCTTTTGCTCAGACTAGCACTCTACCACTTGAGCCCCAGCACCACTTCTGGCTTTCTCTGTGTATATGTTACTGAGGAATCGAACCCAGGCCTTCGTGCAAACTAGGTAATCACTCTACCGCTAATCCACATTCCCAGCCCTCATGCCCGTAATTCTAAGTGCTCAGGAGGCTGAGATCTGAAGATCACAGTTCAAGGCCAGCCTGGGCAGAAAAGTCCAGGAGACTCTCATCTCCAATGAAGCACCAAAAAGCCGGAAGTGGAGCTGTGGCTCAAGTAGTAGAATGCTAACCTTGAGTAAAAAATTCTATGGACAGCCCCCAGGCCTTGAGTTCAAGTCGCAGTATGGGACACACACATGTGCTCGCAGGGGTGCCTGAATGTGTGCCTGTCTCTAGAAAGTTCAGGGGTCTGGGAAGAAGAAGTCACAGGGGATTGGGGAGGGGGGGTGGCTGCCTGGCCTGGCAGCTCAGTCAGGGGCAATGTGGGGAGTCATCTTCCCGACCGCCTCCTCTTGTGCAGCTGATGTGGAGTCTCAGGACGCGGACAGCACGAATCTCCTGGACAGCGAGGCTCCCAGAGACTATTTCCTCAAGTGTGAGTACACCCTGCTCTTGCTTTAACTGTGGGCCAGCCTCAGGACCCAGCTCCAACGGAGGATTTGGACTCCCCTCCCCGGTTCTCGGGGTGAAGGAGATCGCTCCATGGGCGGTCTCAAGTAGCATGAGCCTAGCATGTTGGGGGGAGGTGGGAACCTGCAGATGGACTGTCCGCCCTGAGCCTGGCCTTGACCCCTAAATCTCCCTCCTCCCTGGGCCAGTTGCCTACATCGTGGATCTGGACAGTGACACGGCAGACAAGTTCTTGCAGCTGTTTGGAACCAAAGGTGTCAAGAGGGTTCTGTGTCCCATCAACTACCCCGAGTCCCCGACCCGCTTCACCCACTGCGAGCAAGTGCTGGGCGAGGGCGCCTTGGACCGAGGCACCTACTACTGGGAGGTGGAGATTATAGAGGGATGGGTCAGTGTGGGGGTCATGGCCGAAGGCTTCTCCCCTCAAGAGCCCTACGACCGGGGCCGTCTGGGCCGCAACGGCCACTCATGCTGCCTCCAGTGGAACGGACGGGGCTTTTCCGTGTGGTTCCACGGGCTGGAGGCCACCCTGCCTCACGCCTTCTCCCCCACCGTCGGGGTCTGCCTGGAGTACGCCGATCGCGCCCTGGCCTTCTACGCCGTGCGTGACGGCAAGCTGAGCCTCCTCCGGAGGCTGAAGGCCTCCCGGCCGCGTCGGAGCGGCGCCCTGGCATCTCCCGCCGACCCCTTCCAGAGCCGTCTGGACAGCCACTTCGGGGAGCTCTTCAACCACAGGCTGAAGCCCGCCTTCTTCTTGGAGAGTGTAGATGCCCATCTGCAGATTGGGCCCCTCAAAAAGTCCTGCATATCCGTGCTGAAGAGGAGGTGATAGAGGGCTGCTGCCTCTGTCCTCGGGCGCTGGGTCTCGCCTTGTCCCCGGAAGGCACCAGCCCTTCTCACATCTGCAGGCCTCCGCCTTTTGTAACTTGGCCTTCCATTTTTCAGAGGAGGTCCCCAGTCCCCCAGCCCCTGCCCCCCTGGAGGACTTGTTTGGGGGGAGAGAGCGCTTCAGCTTTTTGTTTGGGGGAGAGAGCGCTTCAGGTTTTCAGAACACTGCCTGGTATATACAGTAGGTGCTCAATAAACATGAATGGACTGAACGAATGGCTCCATTTTCCATTCCTCTGTTTACCAAGATTGTCCAGAATTTCTTTTTTGTTGTTGTTGTTGGTCATAGGGCTTCAACTCTGGGCCTGGATGCTGTCCCTGAGCTCTTCAGCTCAAGGCTAGCACTCTACCACTTGAGCCACAGTGCCACTTCTGGCTTTTTCTGTGTATGTGGTACCGAGGAATGGAACCCATGGCTTCATGCATGCTAGGCAAGCACTCTGCCATACAGGCCTGTCCATGATTTCTTGATGTTCAAGAGCTAAAGTAGCCGGATGCTGTTGACTCGTGTCTATAATCCTAGCTGCTCAGGAAGCTGAGATCTGAGGATCAAAGTTCAAAGCCAGCTCAGGCAGAAAAGTGAGACTTTTTTTTTTTTTTTTTGCTTGGTCATGGGGCTGGGCGCTGTCCCTGAGCTCTTTTGCTCACAGTGAGCACTCTACCACTTGAGCCACAGCACCACTTCCAGTTTTCTGGTAGTTAATTGGAGATAAGAGTCTCACGGACTTTCCTGCCCGGACTAGCTTTGAACTGCAGTCCTCAAATCTCAGCCTCCTGAGTAGCTGGGATTATAGGCGTGAGCCACCGGCACCCGGCCTCTGAGACTTAATTTCCAGTGAATCAGTAAAATGCCAGAAGTGGAGCTGTGGCTCCAAGTGGTAGGAGCTCAGCCTTGAGCAAAAAAGCCAAGTGAGAGCACGGGGCCACGAGTTCAAGCCCCCACACTGTCATGCGCATGTGTGTCATGTGCAAACACACACACACACCTAATCTAAATAGCAACTGGGAAAGGAAGGAACAGAGTCCCTGGCCCAGGAATAGGGGGCTCTTTGGGGCCCCTCCTCACACAGGGTCCACGCCATCGTCAACCTGACTGTCCAGCTCCCACGCCATACTCGGGAGCCACAGCCAGTTCTGGATCTGCCTTGTGCTGGTTGTGCCCAGAATTAATTGTAGCTGCCCACCCCGACGGCCCAGCACACAGCTTCCTTCACACAGCTCAACCTCAGGGATGGGGCGGGACCACCCGGGTGGCGGCTGGAGCAGACACCTCTGCCTTAAAGGAGCTGATGTCCTCGGACGTCTCCCACCTCAGCAGCCCCCCCCCCAGGCTCTGTGCCACAGCAGAGCCCCTGGCTGCCTTCCAGAAAGGCTCAGCGCCCTCTGCCACCCCAGAAGCACCCTTACGCCATCTCTGCCCAGCTTGGGACCACCGGAACTCCCCCCCCCCAGTGTTCTCTGAACTTCTCCCTGTTCTCTCAGGTGCCCCTGCCCTTCCCCCCCAGGGGAGTGGAAGAGCAAGGGGCAGACAGAGAGGCCTCCCAACAGGCTGGCAAGGTCAGCCAGCACAATGGGGGAGTTATGCAGCCCAGACAGCGCGGCCATACAAGTCCTGCCCCAGCCGCCTAGCAGCTAAAAATAACGCCCCCCCCCCAGCCTGCCTGGCCCCAGCAGCCAGGATGTTGTTTTTCCGGGTGGGGCCTCCCCTACTCCTGGTGCTTTGTGCTCTCAACTTGGTTACCATGGCAGCCACAAGTCCCACAGGTCCTAGATCACCCAACAAGGGGGCAGGGCAGGTTTGTCCAGATGCCCTCCTTACCTGCTTCCCCGGGCTCACCTGCTCTGTCTCATGTCCTCCCTCCGCTTGGCATTCTCCCCTTCCCAGGGAACCCTCTGCTCCCTGGCCCCACAGGAAGCCCTGGCATGTCCTGGAATGCAATTTCGACAGCCAACGGCCCACACACGGCCCCGTGGAGCTTCCTCGCTGGAATTTGACCTGACTGGTCCTGTCCCTGTCTGTAGCCATCCACACGTGTGCCACTGACGCCTGACTTCTGGCTTCCAAAGACTGGCAGGGAACCTCACAAAACCTGTATCTTAATCCCAAATCCCAGTATTTACTGTTGGGAGCAGGGAGATTAGTACCCCCCCCCAGTCTGCACAGCCAGCAAGGTGCGGAAGGCTGAGGCCCCAAATTTAAAACTCCCCATTCCCAGTCCATTGTCGGTGGCTCAGGCCTGTAATCCTAGCTGCTCAGGAGGCTGAGATCTGAGGATCACGGGTCAAAGCCAGCCTGGGCAGGAGAGGCCATGAGATTCTGATCTCCAATTAACCAGCAGAAAACCTGAAGTGGCACATTAGCTAGAGTACTCACCTTGAGCTGAAGAGCTGAGGGACAGCACCCAGGCCTAGAGCTCAAGACCCACAGCGACCAAGAAAAAAAAAAATCAGAGACGATTTCATGTTTCATTCATTTTATGTTTCATTGTTTGGAAAAGAAAAAACTATTTCAGGGCCAGGCACTAGTGACTCAGGACTATAATCCTAGCTACCCAGGAGGCTGAGATCTGAGGATCACAGTTTGAAGCCAGCTCAGGCAGGAAAGCTCATAAGACTCATCTCCAATAAACTACTCAGAAAATGCTGGAAATGGTGCTGTGGCTAGCCTTGAGCACAAAGAGGCTCAGGGATAGAGCCCAGCCCAGGCCCTTACCTTAGTTCAAGTACCAGGAGTGGCAAAAACAAGAGATCAAGAGAGAGAGACAGAGACAGAGAGAGAGAGGGCTATCTGAGGTGGGGGTATGTAGATCTAGTCCCGCTGGGGTTGATAAATGAAGAAAGCCCAGCACAGAGCTAGTCAGGTGCCATCCAAGTCTGCAGTGGACCCTGAGCTCCACGGCTCAGATGTGTCCTGTGCTTTCAAATGTGCTTAGACATACAGGACTCTCACACAGCTCTGTTTTCCAGCCTGTGGCCCATGTAAGAGCAGCTTTCAGCCAGGCCCCCTGTTCCCACAGCCCCCAGAGTCTTGGCAAGGCTGCCTGAGGATCTGTGGTCTCAGATGCTCCCGCAGGAGCCCCCACCACTGCTAGACAATGGCAGAGGGGTGAAGGTTGAAGGCTCTGGTGGTATGAGCTGAATAGGCCTCCTTGGGACCAGGCAGGGAGCCAATATCCACTTGAGCTTTGTTTCTGTGGGAAAATAAGCTCCAGAACTCCAAACAACCAGCAGAGAAATGGACTTGGGCATCAGGCCCGTCTTGGCAGCTGCGGGGTGCTGGGTCCTGAGTCCTCGCTGTCCCCAGTGCCTCTGTCCTGGCCCTTCAGGAGGAAAGAGGCCCACAGCCCCCTTCTGGCCTCCCTCTAGTCCCTTCTAAGCCCCGGGAACACTGGCCTCCCCTCCTCCTAGGCAGAGAGGGTGAGGCTGGACAGACACTGTGGCTCAGCCTGAGAGCCCGGCCAGGAAGATGGGGCTGAGCTGGGTGTGGCTGGCGTTTGAAGCCAGCTCTGTTGGGCTGGGACTCGTTTGGGGCCCAGGGGAAAAAAATAACATTTAGTTGCAAAATTGGTGTCTCACTGGGCCCCATAACCGACACACATATTCTCCTGTGAGGCTAGTATCCAGAATCTGAAAGACAACTCTATTCCCTTCCTGCTCAGCCACATCTGTTTGGAAGATTCAAAGAACTAGGTGACTTTGGATGTGGAGGTGTGACTCAAGTGGTAGAGCACCAGCCTCGAACAGAAAAGCTAAATGAGGATGTGAGGCCCTGAGTTCAAGTCCCAGTTCCACCACACACACACACACACACACACACACACACACACACACACACAGAACTGCAGGGCTGGAGCTGTGGATCCATGTAGTTCAGAGGTAGAGTGCTTTCCTGAGTTCAACCCCTAGCCCACTTGTGATACGGAGTAGCTAGCATTGGCCAAGGTTCTTGTCTGGTCCTCACCCTCCTGAGACCCTCCTTTTTCAGGGGTGTCCCTCCAGTGCTTTCCCCTTAGTATTGCTTGGGGTAACCTTCAGAGGTAATCCTCCTGTCTCTCCACTTTCTTTCTTTTTTGTCGGTTTTGGGGCTTGAACTCTGGGCCTGGGCGCTGTCCCTCAGCTCTTCAGCTCAAGGCTGGCACTCTACCACTTGGGCCATAGCACCACTTTCAGTTTTCTGAGTGGTTTATTGGAGATAAGAGCCTCGCCGGGTGCTGGTGGCTCACGCCTGTCATCCTAGCTACTCAGGAGGCTGAGATCTGAGGATCACATTTCAAAGACAGCCCAGGCAGGAAAGTCTGTGAGACGCTTATCTCCAATAAACCACTAGAAAACCAGAAGTGGTGCTGTGGCTCAAGCGGTAGAGCGCTCTCCTTGAACTGAAGAGCGCAGGGACAGTGCCCAAGCCCAGAGTTCAAGCCCCGACCAAAAAAACAAAAAGTCTCAAGGACTTTCCTGCCCATGCTGGCTTTGAACCATCATCCTCAGATCTCAGCCTCCTGAGTAGCTAAGACTACAAGCGTGATCCATCAGTGCCCAGCTTTGACTTTCTGAGGTTTTGGAAGACATAGGCGTTCCTATAAATGCTCCTAGGGCAGGAAGTCTGACAGCTGTGCTTGGGGAACCAGAATTGAATGGAGCAGAGAGAGAGGTCCGGTCTGGGAACCTCAGGGTGAGGCCCATCTCCATAACAACCAAAAACAGTCCAAGACTGGAGGAGGTGCTGGCCGGACCTCCAGATGGAGGAGCGGGGAACTTGTGTTCTTCAAATCCTCGGGCCAAAAAAGGACCTGCCCTGAAATAGCTCAGGCCCACAAAACCACCTCACATGACACCGGCCACTTCGATGCAGCTCAGCCAGCAGCCAGGGGCAGCCAAGGAGGATTACCAGGCTTATTTGGAAGATAACTGGCTGGCTAAAACTAAACACAGTATGCCAAAGCATGTATTTGTTGCCAAAGATTCAGGTACAAGAAAGGCTCGTGTTGGCATTTTCTTTCCC